CAATCCCAGTATTTACGTACACACCATGCAATTCCAGTATTTATCTATACACCATGCAATCCCAGTATTTACCTAAGCACCATGCAATCCCAGTATTTACCTACACACCATGCAATCCCAGTATTTACCTAAACACCATGCAATCCTAGTATTTACCTACTCACCATACAATCCCAGTATTTACCTACACACCATGCAATCCCAGTATTTACCTATACACCATGCAATCCCAGTATTTACCTATACATCATGCAATCCCAGTATTTACCTACACACCATGCAATCCCAGTATTTACCTACACACCATGCAATCCCAGTATTTACCTATACACCATGCAATCCCAGTATTTACCTATACACCATGCAATCCCAGTATTTACCTATACACCATGCAATCCCAGTATTTACCTACACACCATGCAATCCCAGTATTTACCTACACATCATGCAATCCCAGTATTTACCTATACACCATGCAATCCCAGTATATACCTATACACCATGCAATCCCAGTATTTACCTACACACCATGCAATCCCAGTATTTACCTACACACCATGCAATCCCAGTATTTACCCATACACCATGCAATCCCAGTATTTACCTACACACCATGCAATCCCAGTATTTACCTACACACCATGCAATCCCAGTATTTACCTACACACCATGCAATCCCAGTATTTACCTATACAACATGCAATCCCAGTATTTACCTACACACCATGCAATCCCAGTATTTACCTATACACCATGCAATCCCAGTATTTACCTATACACCATGCAATCCCAGTATTTACCTACACACCATGCAATCCAAGTATTTACTTATACACCATGCAATCCCAGTATTTACCTATACACCATGCAATCCCAGTATTTACCTACACACCATGCAATCCCAGTATTTACCTTCACACCATGCAATCCCAGTATTTATCTACACACCATGCAATCCCAGTATTTACCTACGCACCATGCAATCCCAGTATTTACCTACACACCATGCAAACCCAGTATTTACCTATACACCATGCAATCCCAGTATTCTTTTTACCAGGCGTTGGCCATTCCCTGAATTCATAGAATTCTTTGTTTTGATTTCTTTTTTTCTTTTTCTTTTTAGGCAATCATTTTTTATAGCTATGTTTCGCGTCGTCCGCACGCATACGTTTTGACTTTTTTCGGAAAAAAAACAGTTTAGCGCATGCAAAAAAAAAAAAAAAAAATTTACCTACACACCATGCAATCCCAGTATTTACCTATACACCATGCAATCCCAGTATTTACCTACACACCATGCAATCCCAGTATTTACCTATACACCATGCAATCCCAGTATTTACCTATACACCATGCAATCCCAGTATTTACCTACACACCATGCATTCCCAGTATTTACCTACACACCATGCAATCCCAGTATTTACCTATACACCATGCAATCCCAGTATTTACCTACACACCATGCAATCCCAGTATTTACCTACACACCATGCAATCCCAGTATTTACCTATACAACATGCAATCCCAGTATTTACCTATACAACATGCAATCCCAGTATTTACCTACACACCATGCAATCCCAGTATTTACCTATACACCATGCAATCCCAGTATTTACCTACACACCATGCATTCCCAGTATTTACCTACACACCATGCAATCCCAGTATTTACCTATACACCATGCAATCCCAGTATTTACCTACACACCATGCAATCCCAGTATTTACCTACACACCATGCAATCCCAGCATTTACCTATACAACATGCAATCCCAGTATTTACCTATACAACATGCAATCCCAGTATTTACCTACACACCATGCAATCCCAGTATTTACCTATACACCATGCAATCCCAGTATTTACCTACACACCATGCAATCCCAGTATTTACCTACACACCATGCATTCCCAGTATTTACCTATACGCCATGCAATCCCAGTATTTACCTAAACACGATTCAATCCCAGTATTTACCTACACACCATGCAATCCAAGTATTTACCAATACACCATGCAATCCCAGTATTTACGTACACACCATGCAATCCCAGTATTTATCTATACACCATGCCATCCCAGTATTTACCTATACTCCATGCAATCCCAGTATTTACCTAAACACCATGCAATCCCAGTATTTACCTAAACACCATGCAATCCCAGTATTTACCTACACACCATGCAATCCCAGTATTTACCTATACACCATGCAATCCCAGTATTTACCTACACACCATGCAATCCCAGTATTTACCTACACACCATGCAATCCCAGTATTTACCTATACACCATGCAATCCCTGTATTTACCTACACACCATGCAATCCCAGTATTTACCTATACACCATGCAATCCCAGTATTTACCTATACGCCATGCAATCCCAGTATTTACCTACACACCATGCAATCCCAGTATTTACCTACACACCATGCAATCCCAGTATTTACCTACACACCATGCAATCCCAGTATTTACCTAAACACCATGCAATCCCAGTATTTACTTACACACCATGCAATCCCAGTATTTACCTACACACCGTACAATCCCAGTATTTACCTATACATCATGCAATCCCAGTATTTACATTTACATCATGCAATCGCAGTATTTACCTACACACCATGCAATCCCAGTATTTACCTATACACAAAGCAATCCCAGTATTTACCTACACACCATGCAATCCCAGTATTTACCCATACACCATGCAATCCCAGTATTTACCTATACACCATGCAATCCCAGTATTTACCTACACACCATGCAATCCCAGTGTTTACCCATACACCATGCAATCCCAGTATTTACCTTTACACCATGCAATCCCAGTATTTACGTACACACCATGCAATTCCAGTATTTATCTATACACCATGCAATCCCAGTATTTACCTAAGCACCATGCAATCCCAGTATTTACCTACACACCATGCAATCCCAGTATTTACCTAAACACCATGCAATCCTAGTATTTACCTACTCACCATACAATCCCAGTATTTACCTACACACCATGCAATCCCAGTATTTACCTATACACCATGCAATCCCAGTATTTACCTATACATCATGCAATCCCAGTATTTACCTACACACCATGCAATCCCAGTATTTACCTACACACCATGCAATCCCAGTATTTACCTATACACCATGCAATCCCAGTATTTACCTATACACCATGCAATCCCAGTATTTACCTATACACCATGCAATCCCAGTATTTACCTACACACCATGCAATCCCAGTATTTACCTACACATCATGCAATCCCAGTATTTACCTATACACCATGCAATCCCAGTATATACCTATACACCATGCAATCCCAGTATTTACCTACACACCATGCAATCCCAGTATTTACCTAAACACCATGCAATCCCAGTATTTACCTTTACATCATGCAATCCCAGTATTTACCTATACACCATGCAATCCCAGTATTTACCTAAACACCATGCAATCCCAGTATTTACTTACACACCATGCAATCCGAGTATTTACCTACACACCATGCAATCCCAGTATTCACCTACACACCATGCAATCCCAGTATATACCTAAACACCATGCAATCCCAGTATTTACCTACACACCATGCAATCCCAGTATTTACCTTTACACCATGCAATCCCAGTATTTACCTACACACCATGCAATCCAAGTATTTACCTACACACCATGCAATCCCAGTATTTACCTACACACCATGCAATCCCAGTATTTACCTATACACCATGCAATCCCAGTATTTACCTACACACCATGCAATCCCAGTATTTACCTGCACACCATGCAATCCCAGTATTTACCTATACACCATGCAATCCCAGTATTTACCTACACACCATGCAATCCCAGTATTTACCTACACACCATGCAATCCCAGTATTTACCTGAACACCATGCAATCCCAGTATTTACCTAAACACCATGCAATCCCAGTATTTACCTATACACCATGCAATCCCAGTATTTACCTACACACCATGCAACCCCAGTATTTACCTACACACCATGCAATCCCAGTATTTACCTACACACCATGCAATCCCAGTATTTACCTATACACCATGCAATCCCAGTATTTACCTAAACACCATGCAATCCCAGTATTTACCTATACACCATGCAATCTCAGTATTTACCTACACACCATGCAATCCCAGTATTTACCTATACACCATGCAATCCCAGTATTTACCTACACACCATGCAATCCCAGTATTTACCTATACACCATGCAATCCCAGTATTTACCTACACACCATGCAATCCCAGTATTTACCTACACACCATGCAATCCCAGTATTTACGTACACACCATGCAATCCCAGTATTTACCTATACACCATGCAATCCCAGTATTTACCTACACACCATGCAATCCCAGTATTTACCTATACACCATGCAATCCCTGTATTTACCTACTCACCATGCAATCCCAGTATTTACCTATCAACCATGCAATCCCAGTATTTACCTACACACCATGCAATCCCAGTATTTACCTACACACCATGCAATCCCAGTATTTACCTACACACCATGCAATCCCAGTATTTACCTATACACCATGCAATCCCAGTATTTACCTACACACCATGCAATCCCAGTATTTACCTACACACCATGCAATCCCAGTATTTACGTACACACCATGCAATCCCAGTATTTACCTATACACCATGCAATCCCAGTATTTACCTACACACCATGCAATCCCAGTATTTACCTATACACCATGCAATCCCAGTTTTTACCTATACACCATGCAATCCCAGTATTTTCCTACACACCATGCAATCCCAGTATTTACCTACACACCATGCAATCCCAGTATTTACCTACACACCATGCAATCCCAGTATTTACCTACACACCATGCAATCCCAGTATTTACCTACACACCATGCAATCTTACCATGTACAAGTAGACATTGCTTTTCCATGTGCTTATGTTTGTACTGTAGCAATGGAAACAGTTTCTGAAGAGGAGAGTAAGGACAAGTATCGACCACCAGGTCTGGCTGAGTGCTGTGATCACTACTTCTCAACCAATGCACCTCATCCAGACCTGGTGAGAGCATGTGAAGATGACGACGTGGAACAAGTCCGACACACAGTGAATATCGGCACTCCAACTGACCCTGTGACTAGACCGGATCTCTTGGAACAAGTGCCGGAGTCATACTTTACCATTGCATATTATGCTACGCGAATTCCCATGACAGTGATGGTAAGTCAGAAGTATCTCCTCCATCCCCTCAAATAAATGATGCTTTGCCAGTGTCGCACCAAAGCAATTTTCACCTCTCAAACTATGTACAACTTGCAATTAATTTCAACGACTTTTAGCGGTGCATTAGTTTAGGGCTGCAATGGGTAGGGGTTTTGTCGGGTAACGGGTCTGGGTATTTTATCCGGGTAGCGCGGGTACCCTATCGGGTATTTTTGACACAGTTTGTACTGTGAGTGTGCACTTGCGCTACATAGAAATTGTACAGCAGCATGTACATGTAGCCATGCTATTTACATGCACCGTTGCAAAAACACTGTACTCCAACCACCCGATCGGGTTCTCAGGAGAAAAATGGATACCCTACTACTTCCTTCGGAAAAAAACCTTGTTACTTTTTCACATGACTATTCAAGGAGTTACTGAACTCAACAAACGTTTTCTTTTGGAAGAGAAACACTTCAACACATTCAATCCACATATCTACAATATCTACAGGATCGATTAGTGGGAGTAGAGTGTCAGTCTGGGTCGCCATCGCTCAACTCATCACCGCTGAAACCGTTCCAAGTGGCAGGTCGATTAACGCCGTATGTCATGAAGCTTCTCTGCGCCTCTGATCGTCTTTGCTGTTACCTGGATGCCTTCTCCAACATCGCGGCAGAGACCACGGTAGCGCTGCAGCGATGGTACCCATTACCGCCCGAGCTCTTGCTCGAGGATGCCCCGGAACAACCAACACGGGCACGCCAAACATTTCAAATTTCCTCCGAGGGATATCATAGTCGTACCAGCACTTCCCGGCTGCTGCGATCATATCTCGCCTTCTCCTTTGCCACCAAGGACACATCGTCGAAGCTGCTAGAAAAGGCGAGATCATCCACGTTTAGGTCTAGGCTCTGCAGCGGCTGAACGACTTCTATTTTGAACTTGTTCATCTTGATCTGCTGCGCGACGTGACGATTGTCACATCTCTGCGTTTTGGAGTTTTGACATCTTGCCGACTTGTTGGCATGCAGACAGGCGTTTCGGGGATGACAAATCATTCAAAACGCTAGCTGGTATTGCTATTCATTTTCCACTCTTCTTGCTCTTTGGTACCATTGTCCAGCTTTCTCAAGTTTGGAACTTAAAAATAGCTACGACGAGCAGTGAGCGCAGTGCTTTTCTTCCCATTGCGCCTGATGGACGAAAAATGAAAAAAACCATGTTCGCTTTGCTTTCTTCGCAGCGTCGACACCCTTGATCTGCGACGACTGTCGGCTCTCCAAAATATGAATCATGCTTTCCTACGATTCAGAAATGTCATGCCAGTGTTTCAGGCTAACAGAACGAGAGAGAGAGAGAGAGAGAGAAAATAACAGCAGCGAAAAATAATGAAAAAGTCACGAAGTTTTTTGCTTCCGGAGGAAGTACTTCCTCCGTATACAAAAACTTCGTGACTTTTTTTAACAGTGTTTTTGAGCAAAAACCTGCTCAACGAACGGCGCCAGAGGCTGTCATCGACAACCCACGTCCATGTCGAGGTTTGTTTGGTTGATCCCGAAGAAATTCTCCACGGGCACCCTGCGTGTGAGGACGTTGCCGACAGAAACTCAAGAGTCATATGAAAAAATCTAACACGTACTTGCTCGAAACTGACACAGTGACGAAGTGTGGCTCGTGGCTGGAACACGGAGTCACGCGGCACTCGCTGCCCTGAAACTGGCCAGGCTCGTACTTGCGGTGCGCGGCCCCATAGATCTACGCGGCGTGAGAACATAGATGTGTTTCGCTCGCACTGCAAGATGAAACATTTCAGTCGTCGTGCAACCAGCGCAGACTCAGGATCAGAATGTCGATGGCCTGGCTTTCTTCGCCTCTCTCCAGTCAGACGTCTCCTTTGTCGCCCAGAGGAATTGCAGGGACCTCCTCGAAGCCATTGTAGAATGCTTGGGAGGATTATCCTGGCAAAAAAATGCGAAGCGTGTGGATGTGCTTGTACGACTTGTTTCACGGCATAATGAAGGTCGCGGGTTGGAACAACTGAACATAGTCGACACCGATTCGTACACAGTTCTAGAAATGAAGAGGACGTAGCCAAAGTCCAGCGTCGGATCATCACTGCAGGTGACAAGAATCCGAACGAAATGCGAGCGCAAGCAGCGACTGTTGGCGGTGCGGAGTCGGCGTTGTCAGGTGACAATTACATGAGCGACGAAGACTCTGAAAAAAACTCAATCTTATTCGTCTGAGTTGCTTTTTTCATTGTATATAGCTTGTAAACAGGTTAGACAATGCCACAAGTGTTAGTTCAAGTCAAACGGAACAATTCCAGAGCTGTGCGCAGCTTTAAAAAAAGTCACGAAGTTTTTTGTATACGGAGGAAGTACGGTTACAGGTAGCATGGGTACCCTACTACTCGTTGACACCTCTACATGATTAGGTACATTCACAGTACATGTACATAGCCGCCAAAAATGTGCAACTCAACCATCGATTCTGTCCTGACAGAATTCAAAGTTGACATCATCTTTATGATACAAAGCATGTTGTACATGTCTCATCCTGTACCTGTGGAGGACAAATAACATTATCATCCCATGTAATGTGTTAACAGACGGTGAATACGTCGTAAATCATTCGCTAGAGAATTATTGCCTCATACAATTTTGTCAGAACAGCACTGTATCTGGAAGGTGCACACCTTTTAAACGGATGGTATACCTTTCGTTACAATCCTTATTTTCTGAGAAACAGAAATCAGATAGATAAAAATTACATAGAAAGACCAGAAGTGCATTCGCAATCACTTGAAGCGTCCTAGTCAAACAAATATTTGCACACAGCCCTGTAGGAAGAATAATGAGACCCTGGACTTCTAAATTCATTTCCTTCTAGTCACATGCCATGATGGCTAACTTTACAACACACAAAGATACCAACGAATGTCTGATGTTCCATGGACCAGGATAGTGAGACAATGAATTTTCAAGCTTTGAAAAGCTCACACCGCATGATCATGACTACCATCTGGAACACACAAGGGGCATAATACCCTTCGTAAGCAGAGCTTGAAGAGGCTTATGACCTAGTTGCTTTCACTCACATAGCAACCGGTTTGTACATGGGGTAGTGGACAACCTGAGAATGTACTCACGAGTAGTGGTCTACCCGAGAATATACTTGGGTAGTGGTCCACCAGAGAATGTACGTGGGTAGTGGTCTACCAGAGAATGTACGTGGCTAGTGGTCTACCAGAGAATGTACGTGGGTAGTGGTCTACCAGAGAATGTACTTGGGTAGTGGTCTACCAGAGAATGTACGTGGGTAGTGGTCTACCAGAGAATGTACTTGGGTAGTGGTGTACCAGAGAATGTACGTGGGTAGTAGTCTACCAGAGAATGTACTTGGGTAGTGGTCTACCAGAGAATGTACTTGGGTAGTGGTCTACCAGAGAATGTACGTGGGTAGTAGTCTACCAGAGAATGTATGTGGCTAGTGGTCTACCAGAGAATGTACGTGGCTAGTGGTCAACCGAAGAATTTACTCAGTGTACCATAACACCACACTAGCATCCATACCTTAGGAAAAAAAGGCAAGAAAGTAATAAAGAGCAAGCCGGCCAGCAAGAGAGATGTCAGTGCAAGACATGGGCAGAGATATGGCACGGTGTAGGTGACTGGGCAGCAGGGCAGCTCTTGAAAATCCGACTCCCTAAATTTCCAGCCACGACTGCTCAACCGGGCTGGGTACCGTAATTCCGCGCATATAAGTCCATTGCCTTATATGTGAAACAATGCAGTTTGGGGATAAAATATCCAGTAAAACATGTTCGTGTTTTAGCCCATGGGTCAATATTCGAATTTTGACGGTTCCCGAAAATGTACAAGTCTGTGGCCATAGTGGGTGTGCCATACTCTACTGATAAACTGCACTGACCTGCTGTACCATGGTAGGAAGAGTCCATATTGTGAAAAATTCTACTTGACACACGAGTTGCATTTGTGTCTGTTTATCAGCCCCTGGGCATATAAACGGAGGTGGGCTTATATCCGGATACGTGGGCTTATATGCGCGGAATTACGGTATGGGACCTGCCCCACTGCCAGTGCCACCCAAAAAACGAAGACAAGCAAGTGGAAAAAAGTAATCATACAAAAAAACGCTGAGCCCCTCGGGACAGAATCACAAACACAGCATGCAACATGCCACGGAAAACCAGAAAACAGCGGACAATACAAGAAAAAAACGTACAGGACTCAATGGTGGGAGGGCGGGAAGACTCCAAGCTAACACGAGGAATACAGGACCACGCTGTAACATGTGGCAACTGAGCACTATTGACAAAGCTCGAGCTTCGTGCTTCGCAGGCTCACTCGTTCACCCCCGTCTGTTGGGGAGGGGGAGGGGCTGTATCCACGTCGTGAATCTGCCACTCTCCTTGGCGGTGCTCATTCTTCATCCTCAGTCAGTGGCTGCCCAATAAGCCGGAATTACAAGTGGACCAGATGCCAAGGGCAGTGTGGGAGAGCGCACCTCTACAGTAATGTCAAGGCCGCCACCCAAAATTGGCATGCATGGCCACTTCCTCCAGCAACTGGCCAAGTACAGTCAGACCTCGTTTATCCGGTCCTCGTTTATCCGGATCCCTCGCCATCCGGAAGAAAATCGCTGGTTACCGATGTGCAGCATATGTCATGCATACAACATAACCAGACCTCGCGATCCGCATACCGGTGCATGATTTTGTGTACAAACTGGTTAAAATGTGTGCAAAAAGCTTCGTCGTATACGGTTGCATGTGGCTGGCTAGCGCTTGCAGAAGCTAGTATCAGGGAGTTGTACAAGCAAATGAGGTCCTTGACCTGCTGGGTGTATGCGGACAGCACTCAGTTGCATGCACTTGTCATTTTCCTCACTTGTTTTACATACTGTGCACGCTAGTTGTACTGCATAGGACCCGTCTACATGTATGTACGATGTCATTGCTTTTGACATGTCACATGCAAATACATGCA